CAACCCACATATAAAAACAAACATCTGTGGTTAAGCACGACATTAGTTCGTACTCCCACATGAGTGAGAGATGTTCATTGGCGGTTTCAGTCATGGTTCGGCCCCAGTTATCTGCGTCTCCTTCACCCCTTCATGATAAACACACCCTAATAAACACTCCCCTAATGCTTGCAGTAACGTCGAAGTCCCCTGTCCCAACCTCCCCTACGACTATCTCTACGCCCACCGTTCCGACTATCGCTACACCAGCACGCCCATGCGCCTCTGAGCCTTGTGGCCTGAAGGCTCTTTGTAAACCTTTGGGCGAATACTTCGAGTGTACATGTCCGCCAGGCATGTTTGGCAATCCATATGTGGAGTGCCGATATGAATGCGTTGTAGACTCCGACTGCGCTAGAAACAGGGCTTGTGAACGGAATAAGTGCATTGACCCTTGCGAGGGTGTGTGCGGAGAAAGAGCAGAGTGCCATGTGATCATGCACAGGCCCGTGTGTACTTGTGTGCCCGGGTTTACGGGTGATGCCTACACAGCATGTAACCCTGTCAAAGTGACAAGTAAGCATGACCTACTCCTAACATTGTATTGCATGTTATATTTGATTATTCCTTGATTCCTTCATAGAACTGACAGAAAACTATATTCCCATATACTGACTACTCCTTCCAACACCAGCCGGGCTCCCACCGTCACTGCCACAACGAGAGGAACCCTGCCAGCAAACCACTTGTGGTACCCTGGCTGAGTGCCATGAGGAGGATGGACGGCCAGTGTGCCATTGCATTGAAGGTTTTGTGGGTGACCCATATGTAGCATGTCGCCCTCACTGCTCTGCGGATTCGCATTGTGCTTCTGGCCTAGCATGTGTCAATGACAAGTGCATTGACCCATGTCCAGGTACATGTGGCATCAATGCTGAATGTAGAGTGCCAAATCATGTCCCTATTTGCACTTGCCCACCTGGTTACACAGGCAGTGCCTATCAGCGTTGCTTCCCAAAACCGGGTAGGCTCACATAACATTATTCTTTAAGAACTAGATCTAATTTGTAATAACTTTCATTCAGTTTCTCTACTAGATAACTATAACATTTCAGCCTTTGAGCATGGTACATTGTAATTCTTTAGACTGATCAGTAATACTACTACTATATTTCACTGCATGACATCTGCATGTGTTTGCACATCCTTTTATAGATACATCCTCGGAGTCTGGTGAGGACCTGTGTGAAGTGTGTGGGTCTAATGCGGAGTGTCGTATAGTGGATGGCCGCCCAGTGTGCACTTGCCTACCTGGATTTCTTGGTGCACCACCAAACTGCCACCCAGAGTGTATCGTCAACCGTGACTGTTCCACAACAGAAGCATGTAATAAACAAAAATGTGTTGATCCATGCATTGGAGCTTGTGGCACGAATGCAGATTGCCGTGTCATCAATCATTCTCCTGTGTGTACCTGCCTTCCAGGTTACACTGGCGAACCATTCGTCAGGTGCAATCGTATCCCTGTTGGTAAGAACAAGAAAAGTTATTTCCCTTCTCTTTTTCAGCCTGTAATATTACACACAGGTGTGGGCAGTCTTTCAGTGTCTAAATCGATATTAATATATATCTGTTCTATTTACAGCCCAGCCAACTCTTGCACCTCCTGTTACGGAACGTCCTGATCCATGCCGTGAGGGAACTTGTGGTCCGAATGCCAACTGCCGTGTGCAGGGAACTCGTGGCATCTGTACCTGCATTGAAGGCTACTTTGGTAACCCGTATGTACAATGTCGCCCTGAGTGTGTCATCAACTCCCAGTGTCCACAGTACTTAGCTTGCAACAACCAGCGGTGTGTTGATCCTTGTCCAGGTACCTGTGGCATTGATGCCATCTGTGAGGTGGTCAACCACAATCCCTTGTGCTCCTGCCCTCGCAGCATGACAGGCGATCCCTTCGTTCGCTGTGAACCAAGTGAGTAATCTGAAATTTCATAAATGATGAAGCAGTAGATATATATGTATAAAATATATGTTTATTGATTACATCCAACAGATGTGAAAATGGGCTATAGTTTGGTCCAGCACGTAGCAGTCTTTACTCATGCATTCTCTTTCTCTCCCAATAGTCCGTGCTCCACCTGATCCATGCATCCCTACTCCATGTGGACCATACACCAAATGTCAAGTTGTGAAAGACAGGGCAGTGTGTTCTTGCCTTCCTGGCTACTTTGGAAACCCAGACCTTGGATGCAAGACGGAATGTACCATCAACTCTGACTGTCCTCTGAGTAGTGCATGCATTAACAGGAAGTGTGTTGACCCATGCATTGGTGTATGTGGAAATCAGGCTAAGTGCAGTGTGGTCGGCCACAACCCATTGTGCAGCTGCCCTGATGGATTCATTGGTGATCCTCTTACATCCTGTAGACTGAAGCCTGGTGAGTCAGCCTACTTCGTAAATCTGGTTAAACATATACTGTGATCAAATCTTTAAGAGAATGTCTTAAAATTGCATACTTTTTTTTATATACCATCAATTGTTGCCACAATAATTGAAGCTGCTGATGTTACTTAAGTCATTTATCCTTTCTATTACCAGATGTACCAGTTGATCCATGTAACCCCAATCCCTGTGGAATCAATGCAAATTGTGAAGTCAAGAACAACCGAGCGTTCTGTACTTGCTTCCCTGGATACTTTGGTAATCCAGATGTGGAGTGCAGACCTGAGTGCATCATCAATTCTGACTGCCCCAGATACCTGGCATGTGCAAATCAGAAATGTATTGACCCATGCCCAGACTCCTGTGGCATCAATGCGCTCTGTGATGTCATCAACCATAATGCTATGTGCAGCTGTCCTCGCGGTTACAACGGTGACCCATACGTCGAGTGCAGAGTTGGTAAGTACCCTCCTTGAATATGTTTGGGAATGGTTGTTAGATTATCTTGTTTTTTCTGTTTGCTCCATAAGATTTCATTTGTTTGTTATGTACATTCCTATTGCACGATTGCCAAATTGCGGGAATTGCATCAGCATGAGATAAGTTGAGCATGATATATGAGTGTTCAGCATGTCAGTCTGCATGGTATCAGATGTGCCTCGCATAAGCATGTTTGTGAGATAAAGATATTCCAGTAAGATTATTCCCTTTGCATCAAATGCCCATATGTTTTCTTTTCTCCTACACAAAGAGCATGTATTATAAAAGACAAACTCTAAAGTGTACCCATTGCATGTGTTAATTGCATGATCCCTAATTTTTTTCAGCACCACCACCGCCCGTCAAGTGCTCCCCGAATGCATGTGGCTTTAACACTGAATGTAGAGTTACTAATGGTATTCCTATATGCTATTGCCTCCCCAGCTACACGGGCGACCCTTACAAAGGTTGCTCACCCACTACCACAACTTCCCCCCCGCTAGTAGCTGTCCCAGGCTCCTCATCCCCCCCGCCTTTCCATCCCCCTACTACTCCATCCTCTCCCCCCCGTCCACCCATTGAGTGCGAGGCTAACTCACATTGCTCACCCTCAAGAACGTGTATCAACCAGCGCTGCGTCGATCCCTGCACTGCCAGCCTCCCTTGTGCTGTGGGGGCAGAGTGTACTGTCATCCGCCATCGCCCTGTGTGCAGATGTCCTTCAGGCTTCCAGGGAAATCCGCAGATTTCCTGCACTCCCATCCCGACTACCCCCAAACCAGACTGTCTTGCTGACCGTGACTGCCCACTGGACAAAGCATGCGCAGGGAGGCAATGTGTTGATCCTTGTCGATTAGCTAACCCATGTTCACACTTGGCTGAATGTACTGTTGTTGGACATATGCCAGACTGTACATGTATCTTAGGTTACGTCGGTAATGGTTATTATTGTGAACTCTCTACTACAACATCAACAACACCTGGACCTATTGCTCACTTTCCTACTCACACAACCGTCCGCCCTGAAGTTGCTACCCGTCCTCAAAGCCATGAAGTGGAATATGAGTGCACCAGAGATTTTGAGTGCGATGATGATGAAATGTGCCATAACAGAGAATGTGAACCTGTCTGTATAGTGTCTAATCCCTGCACAGGTGACAACACTGCATGCCGTGGAATCAATCACCGACCTGTGTGCCAGTGTCTTCCAGGATTTGTTGGTAACCCATTCATTGAATGCAAGAGGCCTTTGCCGTCCACACCATCACCAGAATGTCTTTCTGACCGAGAATGCCCAGATAATAAGGCTTGTGCTCAAAGAGAATGTATAAATCCATGTATCTTATCAAATCCATGTTCATTATATGCTGAATGTACAACACGGGATCACTTCCCAGTTTGTACATGTATTTTAGGCTTTACTGGAAATGGGTACTTCTGTGACAGGCTCCCACCAATAGTGGAGATACAAACACTTCCAACAAGTGTTACAAGACCACCTATTGCAGTGACAACTATCACTCACAGTCCCATAGCTGAGTATCCTACTACAGAGCATCCTCGACCGAAAACTCCTAGCCCAAGGCCACCATTCCTGCCACCTCTTCCATCCATTAGTGTAGGATGCAAAAGCAATGATGACTGCCCATACAGTAATTCCTGTATAAACAAACTTTGTGTTGATGTGTGCCATCAAGGTTACTGTGGCAAGAATGCAGATTGTTCTATCAAGTTTGACATCCCAATGTGTTCTTGTCCACCTGGGACATCTGGTGATCCTTTTATCAGATGTAAGGCAGTAGCCACAGAAGCTCCTCCAACCACACTTGCTCCCCTTGCAGACACACATAGTCCTCTGCAAGAAGCTCCTTTGAATCCTGTTGTTGGCTCTACATCACCTATGCCACCCCCTCTTGCCGCAGCCTCAACCACAAGAATCCCTGATACTGCTTTTATACAGCCTACCACCATCCATTCTTTGCCACCACCCATAACCATTGGCTGTGAAAGTAATGATGAATGTCCGTATGATAACACTTGTATCAATAAGCTGTGTGGTGATGTCTGCAGTCCATCCTTATGTGGCGAGGATGCAGAATGTCATACTCTTTCCAACAGACCATCTTGCTTCTGTCCTCCTGGAACAACAGGTAATCCTACCATCAAGTGTACTGCTATACTGACTGAGCGGCCCAGTACTCTTCATCCTCCTATTGCTGAGACACTTCCACCACCACCAGCAGTACCAGTTCAGCCCATTTCAAGTCCCTCTCACACACCACATCCACCTATAGCTGATGTTGGAACTCCAAGACCACTACCTCTTCCATTTGATGAACCGGAGAAGCCCCTTCCTCCAATAATACCACCTATTGCAATTGCTTGTGAGAATAATGACGACTGCACAATTGATAACACCTGTTACAACAGGTTGTGTTATGATGTTTGCGTCTTAGGAATATGTGGTGAAGAGGCAACCTGTACAATCACTATACATCGTCCAGTATGTACATGCCCACCTGGAACGACAGGAAATCCTACTGACAGGTGTATTGCACTACTAACAGAAAAACCAACAACTTTCAGTCCAATAGCAGAAACAAACCCTCCCACTAAAGATGAACCAATAATTCCAGAAGCTCTTCCCGGTTCCACTACTATGATACCACTAGTTGACCCCATTCATAAAAGACCCACAACACCTATACCACTTCCTCCAGAGCCACCTACACCTAGTCCAATAGTTGTCGGTTGTGAAAGCACAGATGCATGTCCATCAGACAATTCTTGCATCAATAAACTGTGCCTCGACGTCTGTTTCCCAGGGTTTTGTGGTGAAAATGCAGAATGTCAGACAGTTCAGCATCGACCAAAATGTAAATGCCCTCCAGGAACATCAGGCAATCCAACAATCAAGTGTTCTGCAATAGCAGTTGATGTTCTACCTCTCCCAATTGCTGAACCTAAGCCTGCTCCACCTCATGAACAAGTTATCCCAATTGCAGGTCCAACAACCACAGGTTTGCCACCACTAGCAGAACACGTAACTCGTCCACGCCCAGATATAACAGTGACACAACCCGTACCTCCACCAGTGATACCATCTATAATAATTGCATGTGAGAATAATGATGATTGTGAAATGAGCAATTCATGCATCAATATGTTGTGTTATGATGCATGCAGTCTCAATTCTTGTGGCGAAGAAGCTGACTGTAAAACAATTAATCACCGTCCAGTTTGCATCTGTCCACCAGGAACTACTGGTGATCCACAGGTTGGATGCAAAGCTACAACAACTGAAAGAGTGACAACTCACTCTCCAATGACTGATAGGCCACCTCAGCAACCTGTAGTTCCTATTCAACCTATTGCTGGTCCATCATCTGAACTTCCTATACCAGTAGCAGAAGAGCCAACCACAAGGCCACCAGAACTTCCTTTGACAACACACAGACCTGTGCCAACACCTCCCATGATCCCCATTGGTTGTGAGAGCACTGATGATTGTCCATTTGATAATTCATGTGTCAACCGTCTCTGTATGGATGTTTGCCACCCAGGGCTATGCGGAGAAAATGCTGACTGTCAAACAGTAGGACACAAACCCTCTTGTCTGTGTCCTCCAGGCACTACTGGAAATCCAACTGACCACTGTGTGGCATTAGGAACAGACAGACCAACCACAGTTATCCCCCTTGCAGAGAGACCAATTCCTCCATCGGATGCTAATATTATCCCTGGAATAGGACCATCCAGTACTCCTCTTCCACCACTAGCAGAAACATCAATCAGACCCACTGAACCACCATTACCTTCAACAACTCCATCTCCTATTGTACCACCAATTGTAATAGCGTGTGAAAACAATGATGACTGTACAACAGACAATTCGTGTATTAATAATCTGTGTTATGATGTGTGCAGCTTAGGTATTTGTGGAGATGATGCTGACTGTAGAATACGTGATCATCGTCCAGTGTGTAGCTGTCCTCCAGGGACCACAGGAGATCCTACACGTGGATGTTATGCAGAGCTCACCGAAAGGCCTCTATCTCCTCCTTCTCCAATACCAGAGACTCGACCACCTCAAGATGAAGCTCCAATAAGACCCATTGCAGAATCATCAAGCCCAGGTCTTCCTCCTCTGGCAGAACTCCCAACACCAAGGCCTAAACCACCTCCAGTTACAACACCTCCTCCACCACCCACACCAGGTCCCATACCTGTTGGATGTGAAACAACAGATGATTGTCCATCTGATAATTCTTGTGTGAATAGACTGTGTCTTGATGTCTGTTATCCTGGAATATGTGGGAATAATGCAGAATGTCAAACACATGGACATCGTCCCTTATGTACTTGTCCACCAGGAACAACTGGCAATCCTACCATCAAGTGCTCAGCAATGGTTGTTGATACCCCTTCTACCCCATATCCTCCTATTGCAGGTGAACAACCAGTTCAGCCAGATTCTCCTATCAGTCCTATCTCAGGTTCATCTACCACTGGGCAGCCACCTCTGGCAGAAGATACAATCCGTACTACACCAGCACCATTACCAGTCAGACCTACTCCACAACCTATTGTCCCTCCCATTTCTATTGCTTGTGAAAACAATGATGATTGTGACATTGGGGACTCATGTATCAACATGCTTTGTTATGATGCATGTAGCCTTAACTTCTGTGGAGAAGATGCTGACTGTAAGACAATTGACCATCGTCCAGTTTGTGTCTGTCCACCAGGAACCAGTGGAAATCCTCAGATTGGTTGTAAAGCTACAGTGACGGAAAAAGTGACAACTATTCTCCAGTGACAGATAGACCACCTCAACAACCTGTAGTTCCTATTCAACCTATTGCTGGTCCATCATCTGAACTTCCCATACCAGTAGCAGAAGAGCCAACCACAAGGCCACCAGAACTTCCTTTGACAACATACAGACCTGTGCCACACCACCCATGATCCCCATTGGTTGTGAGAGCACTGATGATTGTCCATTTGATAATTCATGTGTCAACCGTCTCTGCATGGATGTTTGCCACCCAGGCTATGCGGAGAAAATGCTGACTGTCAAACAGTGGGACACAAACCCTCTTGTCTGTGTCCTCCAGGCACTACTGGAAATCCAACTGACCACTGTGTGGCATTAGGAACAGACAGACCAACCACAGTTATCCCCCTTGCAGAGAGACCAATTCCTCCATCGGATGCTAATATTATCCCTGGAATAGGACCATCCAGTACTCCTCTTCCACCACTAGCAGAAACATCAATCAGACCCACTGAACCACCATTACCTTCAACAACTCCATCTCCTATTGTACCACCAATTGTAATAGCGTGTGAAAACAATGATGACTGTACAACAGACAATTCGTGTATTAATAATCTGTGTTATGATGTGTGCAGCTTGGGTATTTGTGGAGATGATGCTGACTGTAGAATACGTGATCATCGTCCAGTGTGTAGCTGTCCTCCAGGGACCACAGGAGATCCTACACGTGGATGTTATGCAGAGCTCACCGAAAGGCCTCTATCTCCTCCTTCTCCAATACCAGAGACTCGACCACCTCAAGATGAAGCTCCAAATAAGACCCATTGCAGAATCATCAAGCCAGGTCTTCCTCCTCTGGCAGAACTCCCAACACCAAGGCCTAAACCACCTCCAGTTACAACACCTCCTCCACCACCCACACCAGGTCCCATACCTGTTGGATGTGAAACAACAGATGATTGTCCATCTGATAATTCTTGTGTGAATAGACTGTGTCTTGATGTCTGTTATCCTGGAATATGTGGGAATAATGCAGAATGTCAAACACATGGACATCGTCCCTTATGTACTTGTCCACCAGGAACAACTGGCAATCCTACCATCAAGTGCTCAGCAATGGTTGTTGATACCCCTTCTACCCCATATCCTCCTATTGCAGGTGAACAACCAGTTCAGCCAGATTCTCCTATCAGTCCTATCTCAGGTTCATCTACCACTGGGCAGCCACCTCTGGCAGAAGATACAATCCGTACTACACCAGCACCATTACCAGTCAGACCTACTCCACAACCTATTGTCCCTCCCATTTCTATTGCTTGTGAAAACAATGATGATTGTGACATTGGGGACTCATGTATCAACATGCTTTGTTATGATGCATGTAGCCTTAACTTCTGTGGAGAAGATGCTGACTGTAAGACAATTGACCATCGTCCAGTTTGTGTCTGTCCACCAGGAACCAGAGGAGATCCTCAGATTGGCTTTGTAGCTACAGTGACGGAAAAAGTGACAACTATTCCTCCAGTGACAGACAGACCACCTCAACAACCTGTAGTTCCTATTCAACCTATTGCTGGTCCATCATCTGAACTTCCCATACCAGTAGCAGAAGAGCCAACCACAAGGCCACCAGAACTTCCTTTGACAACATATAGACCTGTACCAACACCTCCCATGATCCCCATTGGTTGTGAGAGCACTGATGATTGTCCATTTGATAATTCATGTGTCAACCGTCTTTGTATGGATGTTTGCCACCCAGGATTATGCGGAGAAAATGCTGACTGTCAAACAGTGGGACACAAACCCTCTTGTTTGTGTCCTCCAGGCACTACTGGAAATCCAACTGACCACTGTGTGGCATTAGGAACAGACAGACCAACCACAGTTATCCCCCTTGCAGAGAGACCAATTCCTCCATCGGATGCTAATATTATCCCTGGAATAGGACCATCCAGTACTCCTCTTCCACCACTAGCAGAAACATCAATCAGGCCCACTGAACCACCATTACCTTCAACAACTCCATCTCCTATTGTACCACCAATTGTAATAGCGTGTGAAAACAATGATGACTGTACAACAGACAATTCGTGTATTAATAATCTGTGTTATGATGTGTGCAGCTTGGGTATTTGTGGAGATGATGCTGACTGTAGAATACGTGATCATCGTCCAGTGTGTAGCTGTCCTCCAGGGACCACAGGAGATCCTACACGTGGATGTTACGCAGAGCTCACCGAAAGGCCTCTATCTCCTCCTTCTCCAATACCAGAGACTCGACCACCTCAAGATGAAGCTCCAATAAGACCCATTGCAGAATCATCAAGCACAGGTCTTCCTCCTCTGGCAGAACTCCTAACACCAAGGCCTAAACCACCTCCAGTTACAACACCTCCTCCACCACCCACACCAGGTCCCATACCTGTTGGATGTGAAACAACAGATGATTGTCCATCTGATAATTCTTGTGTGAATAGACTGTGTCTTGATGTCTGTTATCCTGGAATATGTGGGAATAATGCAGAATGTCAAACACATGGACATCGTCCCTTATGTACTTGTCCACCAGGAACAACTGGCAATCCTACCATCAAGTGCTCAGCAATGGTTGTTGATACCCCTTCTACCCCATATCCTCCTATTGCAGGTGAACAACCAGTTCAGCCAGATTCTCCTATCAGTCCTATCTCAGGTTCATCTACCACTGGGCAGCCACCTCTGGCAGAAGATACAATCCGTACTACACCAGCACCATTACCAGTCAGACCTACTCCACAACCTATTGTCCCTCCCATTTCTATTGCTTGTGAAAACAATGATGATTGTGACATTGGGGACTCATGTATCAACATGCTTTGTTATGATGCATGTAGCCTTAACTTCTGTGGAGAAGATGCTGACTGTAAGACAATTGACCATCGTCCAGTTTGTGTCTGTCCACCAGGAACCAGAGGAGATCCTCAGATTGGCTGTGTAGCTACAGTGACGGAAAAAGTGACAACTATTCCTCCAGTGACAGACAGACCACCTCAACAACCTGTAGTTCCTATTCAACCTATTGCTGGTCCATCATCTGAACTTCCCATACCAGTAGCAGAAGAGCCAACCACAAGGCCACCAGAACTTCCTTTGACAACATACAGACCTGTACCAACACCTCCCATGATCCCCATTGGTTGTGAGAGCACTGATGATTGTCCATTTGATAATTCATGTGTCAACCGTCTTTGTATGGATGTTTGCCACCCAGGACTATGCGGAGAAAATGCTGACTGTCAAACAGTGGGACACAAACCTTCTTGTGTATGTCCTCCAGGCACTACTGGAAATCCAACTAAACATTGTTTGGCACTGGTAACAGACAGACCAACCACAGTTATCCCCCTTGGAGAGAGACCACAACCTCCAGCTGATGTTAACATTATTCCGGGAATAGGACCATCCAGTACTCCTCTTCCACCACTAGCAGAAACATCAATCAGACCCACTGAACCACCATTACCTTCAACAACTCCATCTCCCATTGTACCACCAATTGTAATAGCGTGTGAAAATAATGATGACTGTACAACAGATAACTCCTGCATCAATAATTTATGCTATGATGTGTGCAGCTTAGGTATTTGTGGAGATGATGCTGACTGTAGAATCCATGACCATCGTCCAGTGTGTAGCTGTCCTCCAGGGACCACAGGAGATCCTACACGTGGATGTTATGCAGAGCTCACCGAAAGGCCTCTTTCTCCTCCTTCTCCAATACCAGAGACACGGCCACCTCAAGATGAAGCTCCAATAAGACCCATTGCCGAATCATCAAGCCCAGGTCTTCCTCCTTTGGCAGAACTCCCAACACCAAGGCCTAAACCACTTCCAGTTACAACACCACCTCCACCACCCACACCAGGTCCCATACCTGTTGGATGTGAAACAACAGATGAATGCCCATCTGATAATTCTTGTATAAACAGACTATGTCTTAATGTCTGTTATCCTGGTATATGTGGAAGCAATGCAGAATGTCAAACACATGGACATCGTCCCTTATGTACTTGTCCACCAGGAACAACTGGCAATCCTACCATCAAGTGCTCAGCAGTGGCTTTTGATATACCTACCACACCATATCCTCCTGTTGCTGGTGAACAACCAGTTCAGCCAGATTCTCCAATCAGTCCTATCTCAGGTTCATCTACCACTGGGCAGCCACCTCTGGCAGAAGATACAATCCGTACTACACCAGCACCATTACCAGTCAGACCTATTCCACAACCTGTTATTCCTCCTATTTCTATTGCTTGTGAAAACAATGATGATTGTGACATTGGGGACTCGTGTATCAACATGCTTTGTTATGATGCATGTAGCCTTAACTTCTGTGGAGAAGATGCTGACTGTAAGACAATAGACCATCGTCCAGTTTGTGTCTGTCCACCAGGAACCAGTGGAAATCCTCAGATTGGTTGTGTAGGTACAGTGACGGAAAAAGTAACAACTATTCCTCCAGTGACAGATAGACCACCTCAACAACCTGTAGTTCCTATTCAACCTATTGCTGGTCCATCATCTGAACTTCCCATACCAGTAGCAGAAGAGCCAACCACAAGGCCACCAGAACTTCCTTTGACAACATACAGACCTGTACCAACACCTCCCATGATCCCCATTGGTTGTGAGAGCACTGATGATTGTCCATTTGATAATTCATGTGTCAACCGTCTTTGTATGGATGTTTGCCACCCAGGACTATGCGGAGAAAATGCTGACTGTCAAACAGTGGGACACAAACCTTCTTGTGTATGTCCTCCAGGCACTACTGGAAATCCAACTGACCACTGTGTGGCATTGGTAACAGACAGACCAACCACAGTCATCCCCCTTGCAGAGAGACCACTTCCTCCATCGGATGCTAATATTATCCCTGGAATAGGACCATCCAGTACTCCTCTTCCACCACTAGCAGAAACATCAATCAGACCCATTGAACCACCATTACCTTCAACAACTCCATCTCCTATTGTACCACCAATAGTAATTGCTTGTGAAAACAATGATGACTGTACAACAGACAATTCGTGTATTAATAATCTATGTTATGATGTGTGCAGCTTGGGTATTTGTGGAGAAGATGCCCAATGTAGGATTGATAATCATCGTCCTGTGTGTAGTTGTCCTCCAGGAACCACAGGAGATCCAACTCGAGGATGTAATGCTTTGCTCACTGAAAGGCCTCCATCTACTCTCTCTCCTATATCAGAGATTCGACCACCAAAGGATGAGGTTTCCATAACTCCTGTTACTGAACCAGCAAGGCCTGGACTCCCTCCACTGGCAGAGCAACCCAAGCCAAGGCCAACATTACCTCCAGTAACTCCACCTCCACCACCACCCACACCAGGTCCTATAACTGTGGGATGTGAGTCTACAGAAGAGTGTCCTTCTGACAATTCCTGTGTAAATAAACTGTGCCTGAACATGTGTTATCCAGGATTCTGTGGAGAAAATGCAGACTGTCAGACTCAAGCACATCGACCTATCTGTAGCTGTCCACCTGGTACCACAGGAAATCCAACCATCAAGTGCTCTGCTATGGTTGTAAAAGAGCCACCAACGCTTCAGCCTCCAATGGCAGAAGAGAAACCACTACATCCAGATTCTCCAATTAGACCAATTGCAGGTTCCACAACCACTTTGCAGCCACCTTTAATAGAAGAAACTGTGCGTCCTACACCAGAACCGCTTCCAACACGACCTCCACCACCAGCTCTTGTTCCAGCATTACCTATTGCTTGTGAAAATAATGATGATTGCGATGTAGACAACTCTTGCCTGAACAAGCTTTGTTATGATGCCTGCACTCTTGGTATATGTGGAGATGATGCAGAGTGTGAAACTGTAGACCACCGACCTGTATGTCTTTGTCCATATGGAACAAGTGGGGATCCTCAAGTAGGATGCAAAGCAATGGTAGCAGAAATGCCTGTAACAATTTCACCAATAGTTGAACAGTCGCAGGTCAGTGATGTACCCATTCATGCCATCCCAGGCCCATCTTCAACTCCACAATCTCCCATCGCTGAACTACCAACGACACGACCACCTGAACCTCCAATGCCTCTGCCTCCAGCAATTCCAACACCTCCACCCAATCCAGTAGGCTGTGAAAGCACAGATGACTGTCCATATGACAACAGCTGCATCAACCGTCTTTGTCTGGATGTATGTCATCCTGGTCTGTGTGGTGACAGTGCTGATTGCCAGACCATTGGCCATAGACCTCTCTGTGTGTGCCCTCCTGGCACTACAGGCAACCCTACAGAGAGCTGCAAGGCAGTTGCTACTGACAGACCGACAACTTTCTCTCCTGTAACAGGCGCCCCAGGCATAACTCCAGATCATCAGATTGTACCAGGAATTGGACCATCAACGCCAACACCACCACCTCTAGCTGAGACACCAACACCAAGACCTCCATTGCCAACAACTCCCAGACCTCCTCCACCTCCAGTTGTTCCACCTTTCGTAATTGCTTGTACAAACAATGATGACTGTACAATGGATAACTCTTGCATCAACAACCTTTGCTATGATGTATGTAGTCTTGGAGTGTGTGGAGATGATGCAGACTGTAAGATTCATAATCATCGCCCAGTTTGCAGTTGTCCTCCAGGAACCACAGGAGATCCTTCCTATGGATGTCAGGCAATGCTTACAGAAGGCCATTGGTACCACCTTCACCTATTCCAGAAATCAGTCCAACTCAGCCAGGTGATCCAATTAGACCCATAGCTGAACCAACAAGTCCTGGACTTCCTCCTGTGGCTGAACTTCCTACACCAAGACCAACATTGCCTCCAGTGACTCAGCCACCTCCACCACCCACACCTGGTCCCCTACCTGTAGGATGTCTTCTGATGAATGTCCATCTGATAACTCCTGCGTAAACAGACTCTGTCTTGATGTTTGTTATCCAGGCCTTTGTGGAGAAAGTGCTGATTGCCAGACTCAAGGAAATCGTCCATTATGTAAATGTCCACCAGGAACAACTGGAAACCCAAACCATCAAGTGTTCTGCAATGGCCTTTGATGAACCACCAAAACCATACCCACCAGAAGTAGGCAAAGAACCTGTACAACCAGATTCTCCAATCAGTCCCATTGCAGGTCCTACAACCACAGGACTCCCACCTCTGGTAGCAGATTCACCTCGTCCCACACCCGAACCTCTACCACCACGACCTCCACCACCACCAATTGTTCCAGCAATTCCCATTGCATGTGAAAATAATGATGACTGTGATGTGGACAACTCTTGCTTAAACAAATTGTGTTATGATGCTTGCAGCCTTGGAATTTGTGGAGATGATGCTGAATGTACAACTGTCAATCACAGACCAGTCTGCCTTTGTCCTCATGGAACCTCTGGTGATCCTCAAGTAGGATGTAAAGCAATTTCCACAGAGAGACCTACAACATTTATTCCATAACAGAACTAAGAACTACCGGTTGTCAGTGATGTGCCCCATTCATGCCATCCCAGGCCCATCTTCAACTCCACAATCTCCCATCGCTGAACTACCAACGACACGACCACCTGAACCTCCAATGCCTCTGCCTCCAGCAATTCCAACACCTCCACCCAATCCAGTAGGCTGTGAAAGCACAGACGACTGTCCATATGACAACAGCTGCATCAACCGTCTTTGTCTGGATGTATGTCATCCTGGTCTGTGTGGTGACAGTGCTGATTGCCAGACCATTGGCCATAGACCTCTCTGTGTGTGCCCTCCTGGCACTACAGGCAACCCTACAGAGAGCTGCAAGGCAGTTGCTACTGACAGACCGACAACTTTCTCTCCTGTAACAGGCGCCCCAGGCATAACTCCAGATCATCAGATTGTACCAGGAATTGGACCATCAACGCCAACACCACCACCTCTAGCTGAGACACCAACACCAAGACCTCCATTGCCAACAACTCCCAGACCTCCTCCACCTCCAGTTGTTCCACCTTTCGTAATTGCTTGTACAAACAATGATGACTGTACAATGGATAACTCTTGCATCAACAACCTTTGCTATGATGTATGTAGTCTTGGAGTGTGTGGAGATGATGCAGACTGTAAGATGTCATAATCATCGCCCAGTTGCAGTTGTCCAGGAACCACAGGAGATCCTTCCTATGGATGTCAGGCAATGCTTACAGAAAGGCCATTGGTACCACCTTTTCAAATCAGTCCAACTCAGCCAGGTGATCCAATTAGACCCATAGCTGAACCAACAAGTCCTGGACTTCCTCCTGTGGCTGAACTTCCTACACCAAGACCAACATTGCCTCCAGTGACTCAGCCACCTCCACCACCCACACCTGGTCCCCTACCTGTAGGATGTGAAACTTCTGATGAATGTCCATCTGATAACTCCTGCGTAAACAGACTCTGTCTTGATGTTTGTTATCCAGGCCTTTGTGGAGAAAGTGCTGATTGCCAGACTCAAGGAAATCGTCCATTATGTAAATGTCCACCAGGAACAACTGGAAACCCAACCATCAAGTGTTCTGCAATGGCCTTTGATGAACCACCAAAACCATACCCACCAGAAGTAGGCAAAGAACCTGTACAACCAGATTCTCCAATCAGTCCCATTGCAGGTCCTACAACCACAGGACTCCCACCTCTGGTAGCAGATTCACCTCGTCCCACAGAACCTTACCACCACGACCTCCACCCACCATTGTATCCATGCAATTCCCATTGATGGTGAAAATAATGATCGACCTGTGAATGTGACAACTCTTTGCTTAAACAAATTGTGTTATGATGCTTGCAGCCTTGGAATTTGTGGAGCATGATGCT